TGTGTGTGGTCCATTCTCTTTATGGTACTCTCACAGGGGAAAAAAAAAAAAAAAGGAACAAGAAAAGTTGCGGCCATGAAACTCACAAAACAAAAAAAAACAAACAAAGGAGAGAGTCTGACTCACGTCGTGATTGCAGTTGTGTACATTCTTGGAAGTGGTAGTGTGAGTGTGCCCTCAGGGCCTCGCCACACCACTCTCGAAACGCGAAAATTTTTCGAGAGTTGTCAGACTTTTTCGAGAGTCGGGTTTTCCAGAGTTGAGGCCCCTTCGCCACACAGCACTCTCGAAAGGGCGATGGTGTTGGACAAAAGATGAAAAACGACAGTCGTACAGCTTTGTCTTTTCCGAATGGAGTCAGGATAACGGCCAGACAGCTCTCGAAAATAGAGAGTCCCTCAAGGGTTCCGCGGAGGACGCTTGAAAACGCACGAGTTGCAGGCTGGGCGTTTAGGAGTTTCGAGAGTCTACTCTACTCTAGAAACAAGGTCTGACAACTCTCGAAAGAGTTTTAGGGCCACAACTCTCAAGTGGCTGTGTGGAGAGGGCAACTCTCGAAAACGGGGTTTCAAGAGTGGTGTGGCGAGGCCCTCAGTGAGGGCATCTCAGCCTCGCGACCAGATTGTCAGATTCCAGAAACGAAAAACAAAAAATAAAATGGAAACACGGATTGGCTATGAAAATGGCTGGATACATTCCTCTAAGTGCCATTGTGATCAGGGTTACAATCCTCTGATCACGGATTCCGCAGTCAGATTCCAGAAAGAGGAAAACAAAAAAAAGGGAACACCGCCCTGAAAATGACTGGATACATTTCTGTAAGTGCCAGTGCGATGAGGCTTACAATCCTCTGAGGAGACACTCAAAGGGCCTCGCCTCACTACTGTGGTTTCCCGCCTTCTACTGTCACACAGACTAGTAAACTATACTATTCGATGGCATGTGGGCCGAGGCCCTGGGGCTCGAGTGCATCGAGCCTCGACTCGAGTTTGGCGCGTGGAACTGCGCGCCAATTCCATTTGATCCGCGCCCAAGTGGCGACGTTCCACGCCAATTCCATTTGATCCGCTCCCAAGTGGCGACTACTACGGGGACGGGGCCACGTCCCCGCGTCCCGCGCGCGTTGGACGCACCCCCGCCTGCCCCCAAGTGCCATCCTCTCCTCCGAGCTGCTCTGTACTTCCCGGATTGGATTTCAAGGCGCCGCTGCTATATGAGCGTACGTAGGGGACGTGCTGCTCTTATTAGTACACTCACCAACGGCATTCTGTCTGCCCAAGTATCCTGAAGAGGTCGAGCGATGGCGCAAGCGACCATGTCAACCATGGCGGCAATTACATCGGCACAACTATCGAGATTGGGATTGGGAGGGCGCGAAATAACCCCCTCCCTTACGAGCGTCGACAACTCCCTGTCCCTGGCCTGTTCCGCGCTCCCCACGTCAGGCGGAGCGTACGCCCCGGAGCCACTCTCCGTGGGTGCCGCCTCGACCCACTTCCTCGTTGGGCGCGCCGTGTCCGCCCCCCCAGCTCCTCACGACACCATCTCATTGGGATCCCGGCCGTCGTCAACTAGTAGCGGGAAAGGACGCTTGCCACGTTGCTCGTGGGTTTCCAGACCGTCTTCGCCTCGTTCAGCAGCGCCGCCGCCGTTCTGCGCCGACGGCGCAAAGGTCGCGACGACTTGCGATCGTTTCCCCGTCTCATTCCGACGCCGCCGCATCGGCGCGAGTGCATCCGCCGATCGGGCGCCATGCCGCGACAGATCGGATGGTCAGGTGTGGCGCGTGACCGGGAAATCCGCCGCCGCCGCCGCCGCCTCGACGTCGACGGCTGATAGGATGGCGGAGATCGTGCTAAAGCCAATCAAGAGTATCTCCGGGACCGTACGATTGCCGGGCTCCAAGTCTCTTTCGAATCGGCTTCTTCTACTTGCAGCGCTTGCGGAGGGTGAAACTTCGGTGGAGAATTTGTTGGACAGCGACGATGTTCGCTACATGCTGGCAGCCCTGAAAGAGCTGGGCGTGCCGTGGTCTGAGGATCGTGCAGCCAACTCTGTGGTGGTCCAGGGTTGTGCAGGTCGGTTCCCTGTGGGCCGCCGCCCAGAGAAGGAAGGGACAACGAGGACCAGCGCCGATCAGGAGGAGATCAAGCTTTTCCTCGGGAATGCCGGCACGGCAATGCGCCCGCTGACTGCGGCTGTTGCGGCGGCGGGAGGGGGCGCAAGATACGTTCTTGATGGAGTGCCAAGAATGCGCGAGCGGCCAATTGGCGATCTAGTGGATGGGTTGCAGCAGCTGGGAGCGAAGGCCACTTGCGTCCTCGGAAGCAACTGCCCACCGGTTGCAGTGGATGCGCAGGGTGGTCTTCCTGGAGGTACGGTTAGGCTGAGTGGAGCCGTGAGCAGCCAGTACTTGACAGCGCTTCTCTTAGCCGCACCCTTGGCGCTGGGCAACGTAGAGATCGAGATGACGGACACACTCGTGTCTGTGCCGTACGTGGAGATGACCTTGAAGCTTATGGAAAGATTTGGGGTGAAGGTTGAGAGGTATGGTGGGTGGGAGCGGTTCTCCATCCGGGGGGGGCAGACGTACAAGTCGCCGGGTGTGGCCTTTGTAGAGGGAGACGCTTCCAGTGCTTCCTATTTCCTCGCGGGAGCGGCCATCACAGGGGGGTCGGTCCTTGTTGAGGGGTGTGGAACGGACAGCTTGCAGGGGGATGTCAAGTTTGCCGGGGTGCTGGAGCGAATGGGGGCGAAGGTGGAATGGACGGCGCACAGCGTGCGCGTGACAGGCGCAGATCCCGACCCATCAACGGGCTGCAGGCTGAGGGGCATCGATGTGGACATGGTGTCGATGCCAGACGTGGCGATGACGTTGGCCGTTGTCGCGGCTTTTGCAAGCGGACCGACGGCGATCCGGAATGTCGGGACCTGGAGGGTGAAGGAGACCGAGCGGATGGTCGCGATATGTACGGAGCTGCAAAAGCTTGGCGCGCGGGTGGAAGAAGGTCCCGACTACTGCATCATTCATCCGCCGGAGGCAATCAAGTCTGCTGAGATAGATACGTATGACGATCACCGCATGGCCATGGCCTTCTCCCTTGCAGCATGTGGGCCGTCGTCAATTACAATTAGGGATCCTGGATGCACAAGCAAAACTTTCCCCACCTACTTCGACGTTTTTGGGGAGCTCTCTTCTGAGCTACAATCATGAAGAAGGGAAGATTCAAAAACGAAAAAGAGTAAGGGAAGATTTTTTTTTTTTTTTTTTTTTTTTTTTCAGCTCATCAGATGCCCTTTTTGTTTTGTTGTTGTCCTTCATACCTGCTCCTTTATGTGGGTAAAGTTATTGTCCTTCATGCCTGCTCCTTTATGTGGATAAAGTTAAGTCACAGACAGAGGACATTCCTTGGTCAAGGGAGGGAAGGGAGGGAGGGAGGGAGATCAAGAGGGGAGAAGGGAAGGAGCCTGGTAGGAGAGAAGTAAGGAAATCTCTTTTTTTTTTAATCAATGCGTAAAGTGAATAAACCGTAGACGACGCAGGTTTGCACATGCCAAGCCTTCCGTCTTTCCCCAACACAACGCAGAGCCTGGTAGCGAATGTATACAAGCTATCTTTCGGGTCGGGTGCAGCCAAAATGAGGGTGCATTGTGTTAGGCAGAAGATGCTAGTGCATGTGCACACATGCGCGAGCGGTGTAGGATGTACACCTGGATATCCAGCGGGGCAGGTGCGTATGGTGTGTACCTGGATGTCCAGTGGCTCAGGTGCCACCTCGTTTTTTTTTTCCCTTCTTTCTTAATCCTTTCTGTGAGTCATGTCATCCTGTTGTTTGTCTATTAAAAAATATATATCTATATAGATTGTCACAAAGGTATCAGAGCGCAAAAGCGAAAAAATATATATCTATATATCCTGTTGTTTGCTTAGCTTTCAACAACTTTGCTTTGAACGACTGACATGACATCACACCAAGCAGACATTCGGCCTCGCTCCAGTACTCACCAAACCTGCAGATTGAAAATGAATTTCCGTTAGAACATGGAAAAATACATCGCCATATTTTTTGTCTTTTGTGCATGTGGAAAGTAGTGGACCGAGGCCCACTATTGCATGCCACAATGTATAGTTCAACTTGGCAGGTGAAGAAAGTTTTTTTTTTTTTCTTAGAAGAGGTGAAGAAAGTTCCCCCACCGCTTAGCAGACAAATCCTTTTTTTTTTTCACCGCTTAGCAGACAAATCTTGTTTTTTTTTTTTTTTTTTTTTGAAGTCCTGTTTTTTTGTAGAGGCTGGCCACCAGGCATATGACAGACCCGTCAGCAACAACTGGCCATTTGATCATCACTCCTGTTTGTTTGTTTGTTTAGCCAATCGAAAGAAAGTGCTGAGGGCGCCCCTTTCTTTCCCGGCCTGAGTTGGATTTGACTGCACTACTCACCAACTGTGCAAGCCGAGAATGAATATTACGCTAGAACATGGAAAGGTACACCGCGCTATTTTTTGCCTTTTCTTCATGTGGACAGTAGTGGAGCGAGTTCCTTGGGTTTGACGGCACGGAGGGGCCACGGATAGGGTTTTAACAGGACGTTGGATTCGAGGTTGGGGGGAGATCTGGGGGTGATTGATTCGCCCCAAGGATTTTGCTCCCCCCCCCGGCCCCACCCCCAATTAATTAATAGTAACAATGACAAAAATTGATGTACAGTTGCTATTAGGGTTGGGATTAAAAAAAAAAAGAAAAAAAGAGGATTGGGATAACTGGTTTTCTTGAATGTTTGGGAATGTTTTCTGAGCCGAAGCTGGGTAATGAATGGCCCCGGTGTTTCTTTTTTTCTTTTTTTTGGCCCCGGTGTTTCAAGTTCTGTGTGCAATGTTCATATGGGACGCTGGGCCCGGTTCCCAGCACGTGCTGCTCCGCAGGAATAGATTTGGCCTTTGTCCTATAGGCTACCAGAGTGGCCCGGGACCATTTGCCCGGCCGGGCCAATTTTTTCAAAATAAAAATATATATACTGTGGGATGTGTCATTTGCTTTCTTCCTTTGTCTTTTCCTTGATTGGATCCCTGTCTCTTTCTCTTGCGTCTGTGAGGTCTGGTTTCCTCCTCCTCCTTTTCTTTACCTCTTTTTTGCCTTGTGGCTGCGTGCAAGTGGGTCCTTGTGACACACGGGGATGGGGGCAGCCAGCGCTTAACCTGTCATCCACGTGGCTGGCCTTGTACGTAAGAGGTGATGAACAGGTGGGGCTTTCCTTCCTCACTTCTTTTCCTTTCCCTGTTTTTCCTTTTTTCTTTTCGCCTTCGCGCTCTGATTCACAGTGTGACAATATATATAAATATCAATATATATATTTTAATTTTATTTGTTATTTTAATTTTATTATTATTATTTTTTTTTTGTGTGTTTGTGTGTGTGTGTGAGCTGAGGCAAAATTTGTATTTTTTTTTTTTAATTTGTTATCAGTATATCAAATTTCGATGTGACGCTGAGGCAAAAGTTGTTCACTTCTGCCTCAGCGTCACATCGAATTTTTTTACAAATTTTAAAATAACAAATAATAAGAAAAAAAAATCGATGTGACCCTGAGGCAAAAGTTGCTCTTATTTTCTACCGAGTTCTGAAAACTAGCGGTAACAGCTCAGCGTATTCTCTCTGTGAGATGGGAGGCTGGACCCGTTTTCCAGCAGGTGTTGCTCCCCACCAATAGACGGAGCCTCTCCCTAGGTGTTAGTGGTGTTTGCTCTTATCAGCAGCACTAACACTGGCGGGGGTGAGCGTAGGCCTCTGTATGGAGGCAACAGAGCAGTCATCTGTAGGCCTCTGTATGGAGGCAACAGAGCAGTCATCTGTATCGCAGTAATGCATCTACGGAACACATCTCATTATTACATCATCAGGAAGAGAGAGTCTCACGGACTATCAACGAACAAGGAAGACAAGTCACAACACCACTCAAGGGCCGTACCCCATTTAGGGATTGGGAACTGGGGGGATGAGGTCAAGGCGGGATGGAGGATTACGGCAGAGACCTCTGAGGTCTCAGCTATTCCTCTCCCAAACTACACTTCTCAAATGGGATACAAGCTCTTTTCCAAAGCATCTTCATTTTTGCAGATTAATGTTCGGAATTCTTGGCGCAAGCAGTCCCCTGCCTTTCAGTTATCAAACCCGATTCCAACCTGGGTGCAATTCTACATCACACTAATTATGAGTACACTAGAATCAAAGGTCGCAGGTTTACAGTGGCTGCACATGCATGCACCAACTGTGGACCCACGGCAGCCTGGTGTACTAGCAAAGGTATGGATATCCCCACCTCGTGCTACGTATGCCCACACAGCTACTTGGAAGACTCCTCCCACCTCTGGTGGGAATGTGTGGTGGCCAGAGGATTCTGGGACTGGGTAGGCAGAATGCGGTTTGCAGCATATCAAATTTCTGTTCTCAAAAAAAAAAAAAAAAAAAAAAAAAAAGACATGCGTTTCTGGACCAAGGACTTCATCTCCTTCGGAGATCAGGGCAATAGCCCAAGAAGCGGGATCATAGCAAATAAATTCAGAGTTGTTGGGTTTCTGGGTCCTCTGGTTGGCCCGTAGGGATCGTAGATTTTGCGGGATCTCATGGTCAATTCCCAGGATCCGGAACGACTTTAAACTGTCTGGTAGAAATCTGACTTTGGCAGAATATAGGAAGAAGAAAGCAGGGACTCCCTTGATAGATCTGGCTCAGTGCTCCTTTTTGAAAGACTGGGCCTCAGAATACAAGTGGGTTTCACTCTTTTTTTTTTTTTTTTTTTTTTTTTTTTTTTTTTTTTTTTTTTTTTTTAAGACAACAATACAACTTAACAGAAAATCTCCAGATTCAGTGAGAACAATTGGGTAATTTTTTCTCCTTACTTGTGGGACGAAAAGGACGACTTGGTTCTCCCGCAAGACACTTTGGCAGTATGTTTTTGATGTACAACACTCATGATATAAGGGAAGCTGGACCCGTTTTCCAGTAGGTGCAGCTCCCCACCAACAGAATGGAGTAATTAAAAAAAAAAAAAAAAAAAAATTCACTTCATTTTT